ATGGGGCTGCGGAGCTTGACTTCGGTGTCGATGATCCATGGAACTACAGAGTTGAGGCCAGCCATGGGGTTGGCTTCGGTGAAGGCGTGAAGGCGAGACTCGTAGTTCGGGGTGAGGTCGAAGAGTAAACGATGCATCGTTCAGAGAGACCCACCTTGTCAGAATATGTTGTTTGTGTAGCCTGCAGTGGGGTACTCAATAGTGAGTACAGCCCCTTAGGGTTTGCTATTTGTATCCTGCTGCTTGCTAGTTCAACCATTCCTTCTCAATTCTGTTCCTGCACACAATCCTAGCTCGTACTTGGCGCCTCCTTTCGTAGTCCTACTGTGGCCTAGGCTACTAAGCCTAGGCCGTACTCCTAGTATATTTGACATACCTGATGGGCCTCGAGGCGATCAGCGACTTCCTGCATACGCCCCACGTAGTCACGGCACCGTCACATGTGGCGAGGGTGATGGAGAAGTACTCCAGGAAGAGAATGCCAGCAGAGCTGATGTCGCGGCGTTCAAACATGGTGTGTTGTTCTGTCCAGATCACGAAGGCGCGAAGTTCACGAGCCTGGAAGTGGCGCATGAGGGTGTCGGGGAAAGCGCCAAGGAGAACAGTGCAGGCGCGATTGTCGGCGGCGGACCAGTCGATGAGATTAGGGGTGTAGGTGGCCATGTCGGCTTCATACTTAGCAAGGACCGCAAGGTGAGCATTACGCCCTGCCAGGGCTTGTTCACAGTTGTCAGTGGCAGGGTCGTTTTTTTTTTTTTTTTTTTTTTTTTTTTGGTGGATATAAGTATATAACATATACACATTACATCCTCAGTCGTAACTGGAGCTAGGAGGGTGTAGAAAGCTACGGAGTAACCCCACCCCCCTATCCATTCCCCTTTTCCCCCCACCTCCAACTTGTTCGCCGCCCGTTTCCGCGCCCGGCTGTAAACCTTCACGTGCCTCGTAAAACCGACTGCAATCCGCCTGAGGGCCCGTTTTGGATGGAACCGCCCACCCCTGAAAACCGCGTTGCACCTCTCCACCCAAACCTGTTGCGCTGTAATTGAGATTATCGCCGCTTCCGGAAAACCCGTCGACGTGCTGCTCTCTTGGAAGAGCATGTCGCCCAGAGACTCCATCACCCTGCCCGGGTTCATCAGCTGCACCGCTGCCTTCATTGCTCCGACCACAGGCTGAATTGTCGGGCAGCTGTAGAGGCAGTGGTTTTGCGACTCCACGTCACCACAGTGCATGCACCTCGCCCGCGCCCCCAGGAAAGGAAGCCTCTCCCCCACCTGAAGATTGTTGCTGTGTGTCCGCAGAATAATTTCCCTCGCCCTGCCCGGGGTTGTGAGGGAGTCCCGAACCCGGATGGCCTTCTTCCAGTCTACCTTCCTCCCCAAAACCTCCTCCCACTGCAGCTGCTGCTTCGGCTGCTCCACTGGGCCTTTCATCGCCTTTCTCAGCTGCTTCAACTCGGCTCGCTCACCCTTGTCACAAATCTGTGAGCGTAGTAGCCTCGTTCTTGGAGCCCCCAACGCTCCTCTCACTCTCCCCTCCAGCTCCACCATGGGCGTTCCTCGTAAGAAGCCAATTGAGGTCATACTGGCATACTCCACCAGGCCTACACAGCCCTTCTTATCAACCGTCACCCTTCTCCCGTATAGCTCCCCGTCCCTCGCGTAGTCCACCCGGTAGTAAACAAAACTCCCCGGCCGGTGAGACGGATTTCGTAGAAGCTTGGCAGCCATAAAAATTTCCTCCGCAGTCAGCTTCGCCAGGACCAGGTCCTTCCATGCTTGCGGCGTCGCCTCCCACGCCTTCACCGCCCACTTTCTTTGCTCTTCCCCCCCCAGCTCCCTTTCAAGTGTAGCTTCATCCTTAGCCATCCGACTTCCATCCAGCTCCTTGTGTATCAGGTCCCTCAATTTGATGCCCTTCAGGCAGTGCGACCCTTGCTGGTTCCCGAACGGCGATTTCCCCCTGAAGAAGATTCACCGGTTAAACAACAACTCCTCCTCCTCCGCTTCCCACCTGTTTTCCGGGTCTCCCACTGTCACTATCTTGGACTCCCACAGCGTCTTCACTGCGGCTTTCCATCTCACCCCCCCGGCCATCCAGTGCTTTAGGATTGACGGATGAGCGTAGACTGTGGCCAAGCCCAGCGGGAAACCGGCTGCTTTCTCCCATAGCCAGTTCCTCAGAGGGTCCAGCTCCGCAACCGCTTTCCCCAAAGTCTGAATGACCATGCCGTCTATCCTGTGTTTCGGGTTGATGACACCCAGCCCCCCTTCCCTTCGCTCCCGGCAGGCCAGCTCGTAGCTCCATAAGAAGAAATATTTGTCCAAGGGGGACTTGCCGTCCGTGATGAAATTGTGACATAGTCGCTTCACCCTTTTCCATATATCCTCTGGTGGGGCATAGACTTGCGCCTGGAACAGCAGTATCGGCACCGCATAGCAGTTGATTATCGTGACCCTCGCCGAGGTTTTCAAGTGTTTTGACGCCCAACTGCTTAAAACCGCGCTCACCCGTTCAAAGGCTTTGTCCCACGCAGGTTCTGGCGAGCCTCCCGACGTGATCCACACGCCCAGCAGTCTCTCTGGTATGTCCTTCACCGCCCACTTAAAAGGTGAGTCATCCGGTTGCGCTCTCCTTCGGTTTTTTCCCAGCGGCATCAAAGTTGTTTTCTCCTGATTTATCCTCAGTCCCGAGATCACCGCAAAGTCGACTAGCAAGGCCTTCGCCGCCACCACCTGTTCTTTCCCATCCAGGACCAAAGTGGTGTCGTCGGCGTAGCCGATGTACGCCAGCTCCCCGATCCCCCTCTTCTTGACCCCCAGCTTCCTTCTCTCCACTTCTTGACACAGGGGTTCCACCGCACACAAGAAGAGGTACGGGGCGAGCGGACAGCCTTGCCGCACTCCCTTGTTCATCACTACCCTCTCTCCCAGCCAGCCGTTGAGCTGGAGCCGCGTAGCCGCACCGTCGTGGAGCCCTTTCACCCACCCCATGAAATTTTCTGGGAAGCCCATGTTGCTCAAGGTCGTGAAGAGGTAGTCCCGTGAGACTGAATCATAGGCCTTCTGGAAGTCCACCAGGAGCAGCAACCAATCCTCATCCTCCTCTGCCGCCGCATCAATCACATCCGCCACCAGCGAGACGGCTTCTTTGAGGCTTCTCCCCGGCAGGAACCCGAACTGGTTCGCGGAGATCACCTGAGGTAACGCCACTTTAATCCTGTTCGCCAACACCTTCGCCAGCAATTTATAGAAGACACTCAGAAGAGTGATTGGACGATAATTGCTTAACAGCTCCCTGTCCCCTTTCTTATGCAGGAGTATGGTAACCGCAGTAGTGAAGGACTCGGAGAGCACACCCGTCCCTTCGAAGATTCTGATTTCTTTCATCACCGCCGGGCCCAGCAAATCCCAGTTCCGCTCGAAAAATTCTTTCGGCAAACCGTCTTGCCCTGGGGATTTCCCCGAAGGAAGTCCTTTCAGCGCTTCCTTCACTTCCTGCTCCGTCCACTGTCGGCTTAACTGGCAACGGTCACTCTCCCTCAGCCTGTTTCCCTCTTCTATCGGCCATGGTTCAACCAGTTCCACCTGAGGGGAGACCTCGTAGGCCTCTTTGAAGTATTCCGAAGCAGCCACCAGCACTTCCCTCACCCCTTTGTATTGCACTCCTTTGAACAGCAGCTCCCTAATCTCTGTCCTTGCTTTCTTTGTCTTGACCAACCCTGACAGGAAAGCCGAAGGCGTCTCCCCCGCCAGCTCCATCAATAAGCCCACCGAGACTTGTAACCGCTCCTTGTTGCTGTCCTGGTACAACTTCAGTGCCACTTCACTTTTGACCAGCTCCTCATAGACGTCCTGGGCCGACGGCGCAGCCATCACCCTCCACCGAAGCCCTTCGACCTTCCTTTCCAGGTGCTGCATGGTCGCGCTTATCCTTTTCCGCTCCTCAGTCACATGTGCTTTCATACTTGCGCGCAGATTCCCCAACAGCCGCTCCAAACTCTGGTCCGGGTGGCCCGCCTGAGCACCCAGCACGGCCGAGATGATGTTCCTGGTTCCTTCGCCGCCCGCCTGAGGCGCCTGCAGTCTCCAAAGGCCCGGGCCATACTCCTCCGACGACGCCGACCTGAGTGCCATTGTCACCGCGAACCAATGGTCCGTCAGGCCGTATGGGACCATCTTGTGCTTTGCTTCCGTAACACAGCTGAGTAACGAATGGGACACCAAAATCCTGTCAATCCTCGTGCTTGTTCGTGCAGATCTTGAGAAAAATGTGTACTCCTTGCGAGCCGGGTGGAGGCTGCGGAAGGCGTCCTGCAAGTCCCACCCCGAGCAGATCTGCAGGAACCGCTGATTCTCCGCCGACGTCCCCAACTTGGAAGACTTATCCAACTCCGGATCCGCAACCATATTGAGGTCGCCAAGGAGGACCGTGTATGGCGCCGCGCTCAGGTTCTGCACAAAAGGAGTTAGAACATCGCGGAAGAAAACTCCCCGATTAGAAGCCTGCGCCGGTAAGTATACTGCTACCACCCTACACTTCAAATCTTGCCAGGCTATCATCAAACTCAAGATCCGGCCCGAATCGTGCTTAACTATCTCCGAGAATCTCATCCCTTTCAGGAACCCCAGAACAGCCACTCCTCCAGCTCTCTGCGACGGTGATACCACTGCCTGGGCCTCCGACCTGACTTGCGACCAGAAATTGTGATCCGCCGGGATCCGCGTATCGGTAAGGACCATAATGTTCGCAGCTTTCCTGATCCATTTTCCACATCTTTCTTGTTTCCCGCTGCTACCGAGCCCGTTGATGTTGAGCTCGAGAAATGTGAGGTTGTTGCGTTTATCCATTGATCCACTCCTTTGAGCCCCACAGCATCCACGGGCGGTTAAGCTTTATTGCGACGATACATCCTGCTACAGCGAAAGCGAACATGGCACCTATTACGCAGCCTGCACCAACGATCCATTGTGACGCCTCATCCACTAAGCTGCTGGTCACTGCTTTGCCGGCTTGACGATGAACTCCTTCTTGAAAGCAGCTATTTTCTGAGACTGCATGTTGACGTGCGTTGCAGCACCATCCTTCCGCAGCCCCCCCTTGTGCTTGGCAGAAGCAACGTGAGCTGCCGCCTGTTCGAAATGATTTCCTTGCGCCTTCTCGCACACGGTTTGTACGCATACCCACTCCTCCCGCACACCCCCCGTGGAGGTAAGCACAACTGCGGGGTCCTTCAGGATACGGTTCAGGAGTGACGAGGCTTTCAGGGATGCCGCTGCGGGAAGAGGCGGGGAGGCAGCCATCAGTACAGGTTAAAAAACATGAGGTAAGCGGTAAAGTATGCGAAGGTAGAAGACAAGGGGATCCGCTGCTTATACCATTCATCTCATGAACCTTTTTGACCGTCAGGTTCCAGTTGGTAAAATTTTCCTGCCTCGAGGCGACGTAGTGGTCATGGTAACGAGTCAGATGCTGACCGCTGCAGAACTCGCAAGTGAGTGACGGGAAGTGTAGCAGGTAACGCCTCCCTGTCGACGGGTCCTCCACAAAGTACCTCCAGCGGTACTCATCAGCGGCGTGGGGAGCGATCAGGCCACGAACACGGTCAGTATCCAACCCAGTGACCGGGTCAACAGTGCGGTGGAAGCCGAAACCGCTGGCGAAGGCGCTCTTACCACGCTTAACCAGCTTCGCCACCACCAGCAGATGACGGATAATCTCAGCAGTGATCTCAGCCGGCACACCTTTGACCACGACCTCCTTCGCCGTAGGATTCAGCAGACGCTCACGAAGAAACCGCGCATCTTCAGGGTGCTGCCAGGAGAAGTCGACAATGTCACCGTTCACACACTCGTGAGGGATGACCTGGCTCCAAACAAAGTTCGCGTCCCTGACGTGGTTGAATGTGACTTGAAGGCGACCATAATGCGTCCCAGAAAAATACGTCGCCGTGAGCTCCTGGTACGTCGTCGTCTGCAGCACATCTGGAGTCAGCTGCTCTTTCCAGTCATCCAACAAAGCTGCAACCGTCACAGCAGCGCGCTTGACCTCATTCTTCCTGAGAATCGGCACCAGCAAGGTTAGTGAGAATCGTTTTAAGGCAATAATACTGCTGAGCGAGTCTGGTTCCAAGAGTTCATCTGAGTCATCACTCAGGTAACCATCCTCGTCCTCATCAGGAACTTGGTCCGACGCAGCCTCTTCGCCATCATGTACATTGTCGTCTGCAGCGTTCTCTTCACCAGCAGCCTTGTGGTCCTTCTCAGCGTTCCCGGCATTCCCGTCTTCTCCATCAGCACCTTCCCCTCCCGCTCCATCAGCATGGTCAACCTTGGCGTGTAGATCCAGCAAGTCCTCGAAAGGACCAAGCACAGCAGCAGCCGTTGAAGAGGAAGGCATTCGCTCCTTGTCCGCAGCGTCCTTCGCAGGTATGTCAGGTACGTCAGCCACCTCCCTATCCTGATCGCCATCAGCCGTCTTCTTGCCAGCTTTGTTGTTGCGACCCTTTCCCATGGTGCGATGATGAGAAAAGCCTGGCAGCTCGACAGAGGCTGAGAAACAGGCTGGACTGAGCACAGTTAGCAGAGACATTGTCGCCTTATATTTCTTGTGCTTGAAAGCGAACCGCTGGAGGTCCAGACCCGAGAGGAAGGAGGCAAACTTCGGGGTTGACACCCAGCATGGAGAGTTGATAGCCTTGAAGTTCGGGGAAACCTTGGTGTTGAAAGCATAGAATCTGTCGCGCGCTGGTGACGATGTCCAAATAGGACACTGGAACGTGGCAGGGTCGTGGTCATCATTGCGGATGAGGTATTCGCGGCGACGGAGGAGGAACGTTGCTTCTGCGGTAGCTTGAAGCTCAGGGGTCGCAGCAATCTGAAGTACAGGTTCAGGAGGAGGAGTACCAGGGGCGGGGGGAAGGGGGGGGGGTATCGCCAGGGTGGATGGGTGTGGTAGGAGGGAGTGCTTGTAGGCGGCAAAGGAGTACATCGAGGAGATAGTAGGGGGGGACGTAGGCGTCCTTGAGGACACGACGGACGCTGCCAACAAATGAGTACCAATTGACGGCGGATTTATCCGCGGCGAGTTGCAATTTGTCGATGGAGGAGACATCGATAGGTGGAGGGAGAGAGGAAGGAGGAGGTGGGGGGGTGGTAGCCATGGACGGCGACTGCGGGTGGATCCGCGGCGGCCAGGAGGAGTGCTGCCACTGCTGCTGCTGCTGCGGCTGCCCCTGCTGCCCCTGCTGCTGCTGCTGCTGCTGCTGCTGCTGCTGCTGCTGCTGCTGCTGCTGCTGCTGCTGCTGCTGCTGCTACTGCTGATGCTGCCCCTGCGGCTGCCCCTGCTGCCCCTGCTGCTACTGCCGTTGCTGCTGCTGCCCTGGCCGCTACTGCTGCTGCTGCTGCTGCTGCTGCTGTTGGTTCGGCTGCTGCTGCTGCTGCTGCTGCTGGTACGGCTGCTGCGGCTGCTGAAGGAGGAGAGAGGGGAGGGAGAGGAGGAGGAGTGGTGGGACAGCAGGCGGCGACGGAAGGCCGCGGTTAGGAGCGCGCGGGCGGCGGCAGCGACGGGGGCCGCGATGGCGACGGCACGGGATGGGGCGACGGGGGGTCGCGGCGTGGAGAGCGCGGGCGGCGGCGTCGACTGGGGGGTGGCGGCGACGGCGCGGGAAGCGGCGACGAGGGGTCGCGGCGTGGAGAGCGCGGGCAGCGGCGGTGACGGGGCCGCGGCGGCGACGGCGCGGGAAGCAGCGACGGGGGGGTCGCGGCGAGGAGCGCGCGGGCGGTAACGGCGGTGACGGCACCGGAAGCGGGGACGGGGGGTCGCGGCGAGGAGCGCGCGGGCGGCAGCGGCGACGGGGCCGCGGCGGCGACGACGCGGGAAGCGGCGACGAGGGGTCGCAGCAAGGAGCGCGCGGGCGGCGGCGGCGACGGCGCGAGAAGCGGCGACGGGAGGTCGCAGCGATAGGAAGGTAGGCGGCGGCGGCGAGGTGGCCGCGGCGGCGAAAGGACGGCGACGGGGGCGTCGCGGTAACGGGAAGGTAGGATGCGGCGGCAGGAAGGCCATGGCTGCGGGGGGATTTGCGGCGGCAACGGGAAGGTCGCGGCGGGGAAAGGGAAGGGGGGAAGCGGGGGGTTGCGACGGCAAGGTGGGCCCGTTGGGAGAAACATTTGAGAGGGAGGGTGGTTAGGCATAGGGACGTTTAAGCTCTATACCATGTGAGAATAAGTGATTGAAGAGAAACGGATGACTTGATTAGAAAGTAGAAATTTCAGCCAAAGAGGCTCATTGGCGCAGTTTTTTCTAATGCGAAATATAATGAGCCTCTTCACTCCCGGCCGGGTTGAGCAGTTTTTTCACGCGCAGGCCATTCGCAGTCGTTCACGCAGCCGGACTCGCTGCAGTAGAATGGGATAGCTGAGCATCGCATTGATTTCATCATGGATGTCGCTCGTACCTCCATGTGTCATGCCGGTGAACCCCATTTTCTGTTGCCCTTTGCAGTCCGCTACGCTGCCTACCAGCTTAACCAATGGCCCCGTTCCTCGCGCCCAAAGGTTTCGCCGACTATCCTCTAAACCGGATCCCCTGCGTATGTGTTTTGTGTCTGGGGCTATCTTGCTTACGTCCGCGCTCCTTGCGCGGACAAGCTCTCAGCTCGCACTGTCACCTGCGTCTTCTTTTGTTTCCCTCTAGACACTCCTAACTAAATGTTCTACCACCCTTCCTCTCGCCACTTCTTCAGCTCTCGTGACGTCACCTTTGACGAGTCTATCTGCTTCTACTCTAGCTTCCCTTACCAAGGTTCCCTAGTAAACCCCCCCCCCCCCCCCCCCCCCCCCCCCCCCCTGCGTCCTACCTCGTTTAGTCTGTCGCATGTCACCCTGCAGTCTCCACCATCGCCGGAGCAGCCTTTGTTGCTGCAGCCAGGTCTCGCGTTGGAGAAGCCGGTCGTTGTTGTTATAGACACAATAGGCTTAAATGTGCCTAAAACGAAAGAGTGCACTGTCGGATTTATGTGTCAGAATGTTATAATTGTCTAGCCTGCAGTGGGGTACTCTATAGTGAGTACAGCCCAATTAGGGTTTGCTATATGTATCCAACTGCTTGCTAGTGAACATCCTCCTTACTTTCTACTGCTAGTTCTGACATGCTATCAGAGCAGGTCGACCCTCCTGGGTCGATCCTGTGGGTGGGCCCACCACCTCACTGCTTCCGCTGCTACTGCTACTCTGTGTGTTGCACGCCCCGTGGCGTGCGACGGATTTTTCATCCCGCCGCGCGCTCGGAGCGTGCGGCGGTTTTCTGCCCGCCGTGCGCCCCGAGGCGCGCGGCGGCTTTCTGCCCCGTCACTCCGCGCGTCGCTCCCGGGAGGCGCTGCGACGGGCGACGGGGACCCGCGCGTCGCCCCCCGTCGCCCGTCGCGGCCTGCGCGACCTGCGTAGGGCCCGCGCGCGGCCCCTACAGCCTGCGCGCGGCCCGTACGGGCTGCGCCAGGCCCGCGCGCGGCCCGTACGGGCTGCGCCAGGCCCGCGCGCGGCACGTACGGGCAGCGCCAGGCCCGCGCGCGGCCCGTACGGACTGCGCCAGGCCAGGGCGCGCCTCGGGCCGCCCGCACGCGGTTCGTACGGGCTGCGCCAGGCCCGTGGGCGCCCTGTTTTCTCTGCCCCTGCGCTGCCCGCTGTCCCCCGTGCTTCTGACGGCGCCCCACCCCTGCTGCTGCCCGTTCTCCTGAATTAGGGTTTGGGGGTGGGGGGTATGGGGGTGCAGTTTCTGTGCGTCGTCCCCTGCTCCTCCTCCTCCTTCGTCTCCCAGTGCTGCAGCTGCCGCTGAGGGGGGAGGGTGTGTGGGAGCCGAAGGAGTGGTACTAGGGGGGTGACGTGCAAGTGGAGTTAGGAGTGAAGCAGTGGGTGTGTGGGGGTGTGTGGGACAGTTGGAGGAGGTTGAGCGGAGGCTGCTGTCATGTCGTCCGCAGCACCTGTAGTCCGGGGCGCACTGTCCTGGTAGCCCAGAGAGTCTGCTGCGCCTGTCGCCCGAGGGTCCATTGCTCCTGTAGCTCCTCGTAGCCCGTGAGCCAGTTACTCCAGTAGTCCGGGGCGCACTGTCCCGGTAGCCACTGTGCCAGCAGCTCCTGTTGCCCGTGTGTCTGCAGCTTCAGCCGCCGTCTCTCATCTTCTCTCCTCTCACAGTCCCTCCTCCTCCTCACTTGCCCACTGTGACTACCACTAGCTTTGCTTATAATTGTGAACTATTACTATACTTGCTTGTTGTGCTGATTACACCCCACTTTGGCTATGGGGGTGTGTCAGAATGTTATAATTGTCTAGCCTGCAGTGGGGTACTCTATAGTGAGTACAGCCCAATTAGGGTTTGCTATATGTATCCAACTGCTTGCTAGTGAACATCCTCCTTTCTTCATTCTTACTTTCTACTGCTAGTTCTGACATTATGCACAGCGGCTTGACGACGCAACGTCAGTTTGAATGAACGGCACTATGGCAGCCACTATAGTCTTAGAACACAAATTAGGAAGAGTTACGAGTTGGGAATGACTCCCAGCCTCCACAAACCCCAAGAGCCGAGGTACAGTGATGTGGAACAGTGCCACACTGTCCTCAACCAGGAAGGGTCTCGAAACTACCCTCCACAAGGGCCTACACCAAGAGAAATGTTACACTACAAACTGTAATGTAACTACTCTCACTATCTTTAAGTTTACCCTTTTGGCGAGCTTCGAGATCACTTGAACCTTGAAACCAAGGCTTTGGTTCTTCAAGATAAATTCTTCCTTGAGTTCTTGGAAGTCTGCTGCGCACACCTGCGACACGCCGAACGTTCGACACACGACAAACTAGAAAACGCGCACGACACTCAAACGACGACGTGACACGCGAATAGCGATAGCTCGCTATTGACGTGACACACACATTCGACATCATGACTCATCATTCACACACTATTTTAAGCATGAAATATATATTATCTCATGCCCTCATACAATTCCATGCACACACGCATGCACGCACACGGACAACAAGCCGAGTGCAAACCATGGTGTTGCACCAACAAACTCCCCCTCGGATTGTTGGCGTTGGGATCTGCTCCTCTCAGTTCAGAGCCATCCCAGCCAGCTTGCAACACTTCCAATGCTGCTGTTCCACCAGCCTTTTAGTCATCGTGTCATCTGGCTGCCCCGTCGTCTTCACGTAGTGCAACTCAACTTCATCCGCGGCCACCATGCTCCTCGTCCAATGCCATTTCACCCTCATGTGCTTGGTGAGGCCGTGCAACAGAGGGTTCTTAGCTGGCACCCTGGCTGTCACAGTAGAGTGGGGTAGGTCCTTGCTGCTCCTCCCCCAATTCAGCCAACAAACGCCGCTGCCACACAATCTCCCGTACGGCACGTAAGTGTGCCATGTACTCGGACTCCACCGTGCTCAATGCTTGGTCCACCTGCTTCTTGCTCTCCCAAGCAGTTGGGCCTCCACCAAGAGTCCGAAACCTCTGAGTCCTATGTGAGGAACAAACGCCCGGATTCAACACCATCCGCGCCCTTTTGGCGCCTTTGTGCCGCCTCCGAGTATTGCAGCCCAATTGTTGATGTTTGGCCAAGATACTTGGCCACCCTCATTCCACCTGCTACCTGCTCCTTATTAGGGCATTGAACAACCCTAGCCAGCTGCCCGGTAGCAAAGGCAACGTCGGGTCGAGTATTTACCGCCGCGTACATGAGGCTGCCCACCAACGAGTGAAAACGGCGCCTCTCCTCTTCGCCAACGCTCCCCTCCTCTGGTCCCTTCACACACTTGAACCCAGAGGGAAAGGGAGTTGCCACATGACCTTCACTCTGCCCAAAGTTGGCAGCCAATGCCTCCAGGTACTTGCGTTGATGCACTCGCATCCACCGCTTCTCCACGTCGCGTTCGATATGAAGCCCGAGGTAGAAGTTCACGTCACCAAGGGCCTTGCCCTTGAATTTGTCTTGAAGCTTCAGCATCACCTCCTTCACAAGGTCAGAGGAGGGTGAGAATATGAGGATATCATCCACATAAACCACCATGAAACTCCTCTGCTCCCCCTCGCCAAGCATGAACAAGGAATGATCGGCCGATGAGGGAGTGAAACTGATATCCTCCAAAACTTCTCGCAGCTTCAAGTACCATTGCATAGGGGCTTACTTGAGCCCATAGAGTGCCTTCTTCAGCTTCCACACTCTGCCACTACAATCATCAAACCCCTCTGGCTGCGCCATAAAAATATCTTCCTCAAGGACGCCGTTGAGGAATGCCGTTGTCACATCCATTAATTCACCACCAATCCTTTGATGGTAGCTCCCGTGAGTAGGGTTTGCAGCGTCGTCCGCTTCACCACAGGAGCAAACAACTCCTTATAGTCCACCTTCTCCTTCTTCTGGTACCCCAAGCCTAGACTTGTAGCGCTCGATTTTGCCGTCGGCGTCGGACTTGATCTTGAAGAGCCACTTGGACGTAATCGCCTTACGCCCCTCCGGTAGCTCCACAAATTCCCACGTGCCGTTCTCCTCAATGCTCTTCAACCCACTCTGTCAGAATGTTATCTTATGCTCTAGCCTGTAGTGGGGTGCTCTATAGCGAGTACAACCCTTCTAGGGTTTGCTATTTGTATCCTCATTCTTGCTAGTGCAACCTCTTCTTCTCTCTTCTCTCTTTTAAACTTAACATGCTATCAGAGCAGGTCGATCCCCTTGGATCGATCCTGTGGGTGGGCTCACCACCTTGTTGCTTCCGCTGCAACTGCTACTGCTACTCTCTGTGCCGCACGCTTCGTGGCGTGCGGCAGTTTTTTCTTCCCGCCGTGCGCCCCGAGGCGCGCGGCGGTTTTCTGCCCGCCGTGCGCCCCGAGGCGCGCGGCGGTTTTCTGCCCGCCGTGCGCCCCGAGGCGCGCGGCGGTTTCCTGCCCGCCGCGCGCCCCGAGGCGCGCGGCGGGTCGCGCGACCCCTACAGCCCCGTCGCGCCGCCCAGGGGAGCCGCGCGCGACCCCTGCAGCCCCGTCGCGCCGCCCAGGGGAGCCGCGCGCGGCCCCTGCAGCCCCGTCGCGCCGCCCAGGGGAGCCGCGCGCGACCCCTGCAGCCCCGTCGCGCCGCCCAGGGGAGCCGCGCGCGGCCCCTGCAGCCCCGTCGCGCCGCCCAGGGGAGCCGCGCGCGACCCCTGCAGCCCCGTCGCGCCGCCCAGGGGAGCCGCGCGCGGCCCCTGCAGCCCCGTCGCGCCGCCCAGGGGAGCCGCGCGCGGCCCCTGCTGCCCCGTCGCGCCGCCCAGGGGAGCCGCGCGCGGCCCCTGCAGACCCGTCGCGCCGCCCAGGGGAGCCGCGCGCGGCCCCTGCTGCCCCGTCGCGCGGCCCTGCTGCCCCGTCGCGCTGCCCAGGGGAGCCGTGCGCGGCCCCTGCTGCCCCGCCCCGTCCCCGACCTGCCCCGGCCCCGACCTGCCCCGGCCCAACTCCCGTCGCCCGTCGCGGCGCCCTGGGGGGGGCCGCAAGCGCCCCCCCCCAGGGTCGCCTCGACAGGCGACGGGAGGGGAGTCTACCGGGGACCGCGCGTTGCCCCCCCCCCCCCCCCCCCACCTCCCTACCCTGTTTTTAGGGTTTGGGGGGTAGTGGTTGGGGGGTGGCGGTTGGGGGGTGGCGGTTGGGGGGTGGCAGGTGTGTGGCGTCGCCTGCTCCTCCTCCTCCTCCGTCTCCCTGTGCTGCAGCTGCCGCTGAGGGGGGGTGGACGTGTTGGAGCCGGTGGAGTGGTACTAAGGGGGTGTGAAGGGGGAGTGGAGCTAGCGGTGTAGCAGCGGGTGTGTGCCAGGGGGGAGTGGGATAGTTTGGGGAAGCTGCACGGAGGTTGCCGTCGTGTCGCCAG